GTGTGTGTGTGTGTGTGTGTGTGTGTGTGTGTGTGTGTGTGTGTGTATGGCCTCTGGGTACCTTGCTCTTGTCAGCTGACCAACAATTCATTGTGTACCATGGGTGTGTGTATCTGAATAAACTCCCCCCGGTGCATGTCTTTTGCTCATGGATTGGCCCTGCACAGCAGAGAGGACTGCACATCTGGTGCTCTTGGTTTCCTCCACGAGCTGCCCAACCTCAGGAGCCGAGACAGTGTGGACTGCCGTGCCAAGGGGCCTCAGGGGTGTTGCTAAACGGACCACGTGAGCAAGGCTGCTCACAGTGGGAGATCTGATGCAGGAGCTCAGCGCATCGCCCGGTTCTGAGTGGAACTGGAACCAGAGCCTCAGCAGGGAACAGCCCTGGATAACCACAGAAGTGCTACAAGCTGGTGCTGTGGCAGTGGAGTCATGCCCAGGGCCTGCTCACATTGCATTGTCTTTCCAGACCTTTGGTTCTCTCGGTTAACTTCGTATAAGGGAAACAGGTTACAGCAACACAGACACCTGGAAGTTGCTTTCCTTTGCAAAGGAGTTGAGTAAATCAGGCACTGGGTGAACTGGGGGTGCTGAGAGGTGAGAGGTCGGGGGGGAGATCTGGGGAGAGTGCAGTTAGTGTGTGTGTGTGTGTGTGTGTGTGTGTGTGCACGCACACATGTGCATGTGCTTGTGAGCACTGGAAGCCTCTCCTGGCCAGGGCCTGGGTCTGAGGGTGCCGGCAGGAAAGGGGGCACCATGGGTGTTAGGAGCAGCCGCCCAGCCCTGGAGACCCTGTGGGCTTGGGTCATGGCGGGCTGGGGCCGCGTGGCTGCTCTGGGGACACTCGGGTTCTGCCCATGTGGTTACCATTGCTGGCCCGCTGCTTGATCGTCAGCATCTGCTCTCCAGACAGCTTGGCCTTCTTCATGGCTGACGTGGCCCTTGGACACCCCGACAAGCTGTGGAAGGACAGAAGGTGGCCGTTAGCACCGAGGACCCGCTGGCTTCCGCCAACACTCAACAAGACCAAGAAGACAATCAAGAGGAGGCCCGGCAGGGACCCGTCGGACCCATCCCCGGCGCGCAGTCCGGGAGAGGACCAACTCCTGACCAGGCCCAGCAACATGGTGTCTGCCGCCGCCGCCTGGGCGGCTGTCCTGCCGGCTCTCCTGTCTGCTGTTGGCTGTGCTTCTCTATGCTCTGCCTGCCCACGGCCCTCCACCTCCGGGCTTTCTTTCCTGCCCAGCCCTGTCCACCTCACCGCCTGACTCACACAGAGCTGCGCAGACCAGGGCGGTCCTGCTCCAGGAAGCGGCCTGCCTGGTCCGGTGGTGCAGGCTCCTTCTCCCCAACGGGGATCCGGCCCTACCCATCCCCCTGCCAGCTCAGGCTGCAAGGTGGGCACACCGCTAGCTGTCAGTGGTTCTGGCGTTTGCGTCAGTGACATTGCGTGAAGTAGCACGCTCCTTCAGCAGCTCTGCCCCGAGAGCTGTGAGTGCTGTCAGGGCAGACCTGCATTCCCCTTCAGATTTCAAAGCTGTGGGGTGGTAGAGATCACCAACACTCCCAGGGCGTGTGCTGTCCAGACTGGGGCTCCCTTCTTGGGAACACAAGTTACTTAGGGTCTAGAACCTTCAGGACAAAGCTGAGGCGGGCTCTGGAGTCACACTGTGCCGTGTTGTCTTCCTCTGTAAGACTGGCTGAAAACCAAACCAAAGCTTCCTCCTGGTCCTAGAGGTGGGGTTGTGTTAAGATGTGCTGTGCTGGTTCTCGTGGGTACTGGAGACAGGGTTGTGCTGTGCTGGTCCAGGGGGTACTGGAGACAGGGTTGTGCTGTGCTGGTTCCAGTGGGTACTGGAGTCAGGGTTGTGCTGTGCTGGTCCAGGGGGTACTGGAGACAGGGTTGTGCTGTGCTGGTTCTCGTGGGTACTGGAGACAGGGTTGTGCTGTGCTGGTTCCAGTGGATACTGGAGACAGGGTTGTGCTGTGCTGGTTCAGTGGGTACTGGAGACAGGGTTGTGCTGTGCTGGTCCAGGGGGTACTGGAGACAGGGTTGTGCTGTGCTGGTTCTCCTGGGTACTGGAGACAGGGTTGTGCTGTGCTGGTTCTCGTGGGTACTGGAGACAGGGTTGTGCTGTGCTGGTCCAGGGGGTACTGGAGACAGGATTGTGCTGTGCTGGTTCTCCTGGGTACTGGAGACAGGGTTGTGCTGTGCTGGTTTATACTTTCAGACGGCAAGTCTGCCAGCCGGGATGACCAACAGGGTTGTCATGGGAGGAGACCCAGGCTTGAGTGGGTTTGGGGAACTAAATTAGGAAACAAAGGCAGACTCGGAGAATGATGTGCTCCGCTCAGACGCGCCTCCCTGGGCCCCGTCCATTCCAGTCTGGTGAGTACATCGTCTCGTGGGTCAAATTTGGAAGTGAACCCCACGGGTCCTGGTTCAGGCCTGGGCGGCGGCGGGTCTCCCTGAAAACACTGCCAGCTGGCAGTGGCCTGTGCGGCTCCCTTCGTGCTGCCCAGCAGCGTGGAGCGGGGTGAGGGAGAGTGGGGGGGGAGATCTGCCCTCACCACCTCCCCCAGGGAGGGGGCCAGGGCCCGCTTCTCTCAGAGGTGACGCGTGCTTCAGCCTGTGGACTGTGATCTCAAGGCTGGGAAGTGGTTAACAGCTCCCCCTCTCCCAGCCCAGACGTCTGGCACCAGGCACCGTGGCAGGAATCCAAGAGCAGGAGCAGCCAGGGCTTTGGTGGCTGCCCAGGAGGGCTGGAGGCCCAGGTTTGATCAGGCTGTCAGCCCAGAGGGGCTTTTCCTGGAGAACACTGGCGGGAGACAGCCGGCTGGTCAGCTTCCCGGGGTGGACCCGAGGATGGCCGCTCATTGAGAGGAAAGACCTCGGCCGTGTGGAACAGTGCACCAAGTGGACTGGGGTCCGGGCGAAGGGAGGCCCTGGTCAGAGCCCAGGAGCCCACAGGAGCCCGCAGGAGCAGGCCGCGGCCGTGCCAGGCGGGCTCCTGGTCTGGCCCATGCAGAGCCGGCTCTGTCCTCTGGCGTCCTTGGGAGCTGGGCCTCCTCTGAGCTGTGGCTCACCTTCCTGCACTTGCAGCTTCCTCGTGGCGTCCTCATGCGATGGTGTCCTCGGTGCACCATCACACAGCAGGGCCCTGCTGGCCCCATCCACGCCAGGTCATCTCCATCAGAGACTGGCGGAGGGCAGCGCAGCACTTGTCCATAAGTGAACGAGAACACCGCTTCCCCAGTGGCCTTCTCACGGGTGAGGTCCCCATGGTGGGGGGGGGCAGAGGAGCCCCGAGGGAACTCCCGCCCCGCCCGGGGGCCCTGCCCCGCCCGGGGGGCCCCCACCCAGTCCATCCTGACGTGACCCCTTCTCAGCTAGTACCATAATCCAGAGGATTGTCTAACCCCCACAAGTCTGTGCACAGCTGGGAGCCCTAGTACCACAGGGAGAGAGATGTTTCTAGAACAGTGTTGAAAAGCCACTGATGGAGCCTGAAGAGCTGAAACAAGCCAAATCAATGGCCCAACATGGCTCAAAAGTCATGATTTCAGACTAACTTGGCAGCAAGGTCCGTTCCCAGAGTGCTCGGCTTGGAGTGTCATCACAGAAACCTGGCCCGAGTTCCGAATCTGCCACGGGCTCCCGAGGTGAGGCCACAGGCTCCCGGTGGGTCCCGGTGTGGGACGTGGCATCGTGGCTCCCGGCGGTCCGGTGTGGGAGGTGGTACGCTGCATGGAGCTGGGTGTTGGTGTGAGTTTATCAAGGACCCTGCACCCGGTGACACGGCTCGGGATCTCCAGGGCAGTGTGCACAGCTGAGGCTCGCCGCGTGACCTCCCGCGCCCCGGACGTGTCCAGGCCCCAGGCCGGGCCTCCCCACTGGCAGCACCAGGTCACAGACAAAGTGTCTCTCAAAGCTGGAGACAACAGGGCCGCATGCAGCTCCGAGGCTGGCGTGGGCCCAGATCAGTTCTGAGCTGCTACGCTCAGCGGTGAACGGCCAACCCCCTGGGAGGGTGCATGGTTTGTGCCCAAGGCAGGACTATCGTAAGTTCAAGGCCAGACTATCTCAAGACCAAAACCCAAACACCCTTCTAGGAAGCAGGCTGCAGGGAGACATCTTAAGCGCGGTCTTGTGGGCATCGAATGTCCTACCGGACCCTTTCCTTAGCAGTGTCCCTGCAGCACTTGTACGCGGCAGGAAAGCTGGACAAAGTGGGTCAGTTGGAATGCTGGGCCACCCGGGCCAGGACCTCGGGGGCAGGAGTGCTTCCTGCACTCAGGGGGTCATCGTGGGCCCCGGGGTGGGTGAGGGGCACAGGACTTTCAACAGGATTTGGGGGCCAGGAAGGTGGCTCAGTGGTAGAGCGCTTGCCTTGCACGCATGAGGCCCTGGGTTCAATTCCTCAGCACCACATAAGCAGCAAAAAAACGCCGGAAGTGGCGCTGTGGCTCACGTGGTAGAGTGCTTGCCTTGAGCTGAAGAGCTGAGGGACAGCGCCCAGGCCCAGAGTTTAGGCCCCGTGACTGACCAAAACAAAACAACAGGATTTGGCCCTCACAGTGCTTGTGTCTCATGACAGCCACTGACTCCTATTTTTTATGGCGGCCTCATTTCCACGAGGCCGTCTACACCGCGGTGTGGCTACATTCTCAGGGGCAGCCTTGGCATGGGGGACAGAGCTGAACACCAGGAGTCTTGATTTTGGGTGTGGTCTGGGTCGAGTGATCCTGGAGCTGTGAAGGAGGGCCAGGGGCCTGACCACGGTCAGACTTCCCTGCAGGGACCCAGCAGGAGGGAGCATTTGGTGAGGCCTCCTGGGAGGAGGGGGAGGACATTTGCTGCTGGAAGACTCGCACCTGCGGCCCTGCGCCTGCACCGCTGGTGGCATTGGCCCCTATGCTCACATGGTCTTTTGACCTTAAATTGATATCAGCTGAAATCAAACAACTTGGCTGGCTCTCTTTCCCCAGACCCAAATTTTAAGGGCCCAGAGGCTCCTGAGTCTGAGGATGGCCATCCGGCCTGCAGGTCTGGGGGTCTCTTGACTCCATAGGGAAGCCATGGGGTAAGTAACTGGTGGTGTTTGGTGATGATGGCTTGCCCTTGAGACTGATTCCAAGCAGAGAGGCTCCTCCCCTCAAATAGCCAAGCAGCAGGCTGGGCTTGTTAAAGACCACACGGGGGATGCGGTAGTGGGGCCTTTGTAGACTGCATCTCGCTCACGCTGTCAGATGTCGAATCCAGCCCACTAGGTGTTTTCTCTGCCTCAGGCAGGGGCTTTTAGAGTGGGCAGTGCCCCACTGTGGGGCAGCAATATTTCCAGATATTCTATAGTGCTCAGAGGCTGGACAGAGGAAACTCACAGGAGCAGACTGACAGAGGTCTGGCCAGGGAGACTGAGACAAGGCCCAGGATCATCTCTGCCCCGGGAGACTGAGATGAGGTCCAGGATCAGGGCTGCCCAGGGAGATGGAGACGAGGTCCAGGACTAGCTCTGGATCAGGGAGATGGAGATGATGTCCAGAATCAGCCCTGGCCAGGGAGATGGAGACGAGGTCCAGGAGCAGCTCTGGGTCAGGGAGATGGAGATGATGTCCAGAATCAGCTCTGCCCAGGGAGATGGGAGATGAGGTCCAGGATCAGCCCTGACCAGGGAGATGGAGACAAGGCCCAGGAGCAGCTCTGGATCAGGGAGATGGAGACGAGGTCCAGGAGCAGCTCTGCTCTTGAGCAAACCTCTGTAGGCAAAGCTTGTATAAACAATTCTGCAAATGCCGGCGAGGGTCCTGAATCTAGGCAGGACACGTCCAAAGGCCGCCTTTTGCTGGGTGTGGGTGGAATCCAGGTGAGAAGGAGGAGGGCGTTTTTATGAGGGAGTTGTGCACAGATCCTGCTGGTTTCTAGAGAAGGTTGATGGGAGTCTAAGTGGGAGCTGCTCTTTGTTCCTTCCCTGTAAGCCCTGTTGCCTACCTGCCAGTCTGGGAGCAGGGAAGAGAAGGAGCTGGATCCAGGGCTTGGCTGTGTCTTAGCTGCTGTGAGTGCATTAGTCCCATCTATGGATTGAGCCATCATCTTCCTTCGAGGAACACCATCAGGGGTGAAAATCAGGGAAAAGGTTGAGAGAATTCCAGGCTAGGCTGTGGGGCTGCTGGTCCAGAGACAGCATGGACTCCGGTTCCGGAGCCATGGGGGAGGTCCGGGGGAAGGGCAGGAGGAGGGGAGCAGCCGTGCTGGGATGGAGGTGCCCGGCACTCACCTGCAGTCACGAGGCTGCAGAGATGGAGCTAGAGAACGGGGCTTCTGGCCGCATGGGCCTCAGGAGCTTCTCACTGCCAGGGAGGCCTGGGGTCCGGGAGAGGCCGCGCTGCCCACTTCCGGCGGAGCGGAGAGGCCGTGGGGCTTGGCGAGGAGAGAGGGAAGGAGCAGCTGCATGAGGGAGGACCACAGGGAGTAAGGACACTCCAAAGGCGGCCCCTTGCTCCGGGGCTGGGAGGGAAGAGGCGCCAGTCTCCTCTCCCATGTGGGACACTGAAACCAGAGTTGAAATCTTCATTTGCGGTCTGGGCTCAAACTCGGGGCTCACGCGAGCCACGCACGCACTCGACCACGGAGCTGCCCCTCGTCCCCAGAGCCCCAAGAATGCTAAAGGTCAAAGTCTCCATCTGTTTCTTGGAGATAAAGCATCTTGAGTGCACGCTGGTCTTTCCCATAAAACGAGAACAGGGGCATGGTCGAAGGGACATGGTCGGAGGCTCTGCCGACACCTCTGTGTTTCTCCGGCATCGCTGGATGCTGCTGAGCCGGGGGTG